TACCCCACGTTGTAGGAAAAACCCGTTCACACACACACACACACACACACACACTCCTGCACCACTGTGGGTGATTCATTTCAATTACATCCCCGGCGCTCCGTCTGCTTCCCAGAGTCCGAGCTAACTATGGTAATGGGGATGAATAGCTGAGGGGGCTCCCTCATTGACTTCCTCTGGTCTCATTAATGGAACAAGCCAAAACACACTACAACTCCCAGTCAGACTGCAGGCACTTGGACTGCAGTGGATACTGGAGTGTGTGTGAAAACACATGTTTGTGTGTCTATATTTGGCCTGTACTTAGTACTCCTTTAAGCACAAAACCCAACAACACTCAGTCACATTTGACTAAACAACCTTCATTATTGGGTTATTTAAAAAGCTAAAATTGCCTATTTATTTTCAGCTGTTGTTCTCTGTTGAAATACCAAAAATCTGCACTAATTAACACATTAGCTTGTGATCAAACAGAGGGCCTATTTTTTGTCTCTAAAACACAAGGTGCTTGATGGTGTGAAAGCTGCTCGTAATGAACCTCACAGGCTCTAAGAAACATTAATTTCTCGGGTTGCTACGCGACCAAAACACTCCATGATGCCTTGTCAGAGATTTAATAAGCACCGTTTATACATTCTGAAGGCCTGAGTAAATGAGGAGTCACTACATGGTTACAATACAAATGGTTGACACAAAGTTTTTAAAGAAGATAATAGGCAGAATGTTTTTACATCGTATCCTCAAGAGTGTTTGTACAAGAATAACTGAATGCACCTAAAAATAATAATAATAATAGTGCAGTCTAAAATTTGATGTGGTAGTAGCTGAGTCTTCCTCAACRCATACTGTATTCTGAGCACTAGTAGATTTCTGAAGAACTTGATTTACTGCATGGGATAGCATATAAAAACATCCCTTCTTCTCAGAAGATACTCTTAATCTAAAACAGGCATGAAAGGTGGTGGCTGATATGCATTTCTTTGAGAAACACTAGGCTTTTGGCTTCACACTCAAAGTTTCTGTTGCCTGTTAAGTGGATGCAACATAATGTTATTTTCAGTCTGCAGATTATCACCACCATAGACCACTGACAGGGAGCAAAGTGAGCTGAGCCAAGTGTCTTCTGAAGCTAATGAGCACGAGTGCTGACAGTGGGGAGGTGTTGGGCGTGGTTGTCGGTCTGGGTACGTTTGTGAATTGAAGCTCCTTCTTCAAACTCGTGTCTGTAAGATCTGTGCTGATAGAGCACATTTTGTGAGTGAGCATTAGGACAAATAAAGGAGCCCTACACAGCCACCCTGACTCTTCTGTGTGGTTGACATTTGCTGCATGGCTTTGTGTGAGTGTGCTGCGATGGGAAATCAATGACGCCAAAAAGAATCAGTGAATCTCTGGAGGCCGCAGCCTTCTGGCTGGAACAAGAACATCTCCTCCATGAATTCTTGTCTTACCTTTACACTTGTAGCCTTGCTTGTAAAATCCCCAAATCTGCAAATAAGATAAAAAAAGGGTGAGAGGGTGTTAATTGGAACAGTTTTCTATTTATTTGATGAGAAATAGAAGAGTGTTAAAGATCATTTGGATGACACAGCAATCGTTGAACGCTGAAGTTGTTTTACTTTTTTCAAAAGTAGTTTTTTTTGATGGGAGTAACAAAGTACAACATAACCAGTAAAAGAAGCACAACTGACAGGAAAACCACCAAGAAACCAGATACTAAGGCCACTTTCACACTGGATTATGACCTACACAACCTTTTAAAGAAGAACTTGACAAATACAATTTGTACGAATTTCCACATCCTTAAAACAGCACCCTGACCATAGTCTGTTCTCCTGCTCATGGTGTGACTGTCTCAGGCTGCATCAGACTGCCACTATGAACTAGTACTTGGGTATCAAGGGCAATTATCCTGCCTAACTTGAATAAATTGGTGATTAACAAGCTTGTGCAGAACTTGAAGTGGGAATTCAATCACTGAATCAGACATATTACAGCAGAGAAAATGGTCAAACCTAAAGGATAGCAAGCCTCAAGGACCAGGATTGAACACCACCGTAATAGAAGATCCTGCCCACCCTGTTTTGGCACTACCGCCATTTTTATTATATCTGGGATATGGTTGTTTTCATGACTTTGCAAATTAAACCAGTCCTGCTTTAAATTCTCAATGACCAAGCCACCCTGGTGCACACAGACCTCAACCGCCAATGAAGCCACCACACCCAGCTATGATCACTGGTGAGCTCAGCTTTACTGTCAGAATACAAGCACCCTGCTGCTGATCCAATGGACCAGTAAAAATAAGCAAATATTAAGACGTAAAGCTCCCTAGTTAATGCACCACAACCCTTTACTTCATTGGAGGGTTTTTCAGCTTCAAGACCTGGCAGGAGTTCAATTTAATTCACCTCCAAGTCTCAACCAAGTAGAGATTTTTTAGACAAAAAAATAAAACAAAATAAAATAAATAAAAATAAAATAAATAAACCAGGAAACTATCATAAATAATAAAGCAACTTGGAAGCTAAGCAGGTTCACACCTGGCTMCTACTTGGATGGGTGACTGCTTGGTAATACCAGGTGCCATAAAACCAATGCAGGAGTTGTGTCAACTTTGGAACATTAGCAATAGAAAACATTTGACCAAAATAGGTCGCCTTCTATGAAAGATGACAAGAAGATGTGCTGACACTTCACCCTCCATATTGCTCTAAGTAAATGGCAAAATAAGTGCATGCCATTGAAAGCATGAATTTAACTTCACCAGTCCTTTCTTTAGATTTGTCTCAAAGTAAAAGGTTTTGAATGTTTTTTGTAGGTAAAATTAATCACTGCAATTAAAAAACTGTCTCTTTTTTGTCACATTTACGGTGGATGGCACCAACTCTGTTACATTGCAGAAAGAAAGCTTCACTGGTGTGAAATATACAGTAAATCTATCCATCTATGTTTGATTACTCTGGCTTTCTCAAGGACCAGTATGTGTGAGGCAAATAAATGAATTTTTGAATTGAAATTTAATTAGAGAACTGAAAGTGAAAGTAGTCAAATTGAATTTTTAATAAAACAAAATACAGTTTCAAAACAAATACATTTGGATTCAAAACATTTTCAGTTTCAATTTAGTGAATTTCATTTTTCAAACCAGTGCATTTGATTTCACATTATGCAAATACAGATTCATTCTGAGCAATTCAAATTCAGTTTCTGTTGGTACAATGTTCTTCCCAAGTATTAGAGCTGCTCAATATATCGTATAGCATTGCAAGCTTTGCAATGTTATCTAGGGATAAGTCATTGCACTAAACAGTCGAGAGTTACTGCCAGCGAATGTGGGCGGCTTCATTTTAGCTAAAAATTTTCATTCTGTCATGAAACTTCAGAGACAATAATTGTTTTGATTTTTGGAGAAGTTCTCAAGCTATGGAGGAAGACAACAAGGATATTGACGAAAATGATAAAGATGAGCAAATTTGCAAAGAACTGGCGGAAAATAAGTAAAATACGGTTAAATTAAAGCATAACGAAAACAGGCACTAAGATAGACACAGAGGCAACATGTTTATTGCCAGTAGCAATGAACAAAACTGTGGTGAAACATAATTCATGTTTGTACATGAGCAAAGGAAACGTACTCAGGCCCCACCCCAACAAAGATAAAAAAAAGATAACAAGAGAACCGTCAAATACAAAAAGCATACTTGTAACATGAACAAAAAAGAAGTAGGGATGGCAGACACAACTTCAAGTGTTCAAGTCATCTGTTGAAAACTCCTGTATTTTTTTCATATCAGCATATAAATTGCAGGGTTTGATAAATTGCAATGTCAGTTCTTTTAACCGTGCAGTCCTAAAGAGTATTGAATAAGATTAAAATTACACTCGCACACTCCAGTCAGATGCAGTGYCCCTCTGCAGAAGTCTTTCAGAGATCTACATCCAGCTAATAAGTCCTGGCAYGAGTTTTTGAGACGATGCTGAGGCTCCACCTGAATGCAATGCTTTTGCTTTGATATAGTCTGCCTTTTACCAGTGAAGAACTGCTCAAGGAAACATTAACAAAGCAATTGCTCAAGCTTGATCAAGTGAATAAAAATACTGGTAAAAAAAATGAGGTGAGGAGAGTTAGAAGGTGAAAACAACTCAAAATAAGGGATGTGTGAACAACTCTGGTGTCGTGATTGTCATAAGTTTGGAGTTTTTAAAATAAAACAAAATGTGAGTTTTTGTCTCTTTTTTCATTAAGGCTGTGACCTTTTGCCCTGTCAGTTTTTGTCTTTGTTCATACACCCCACCAAACACCACCCTAAGACCTTGTGAAGACCATCAACCATTCTGGCAAATCAAGGTTGTGAATAAACAGAAAAAATAAAAATATAAAAATCAAAAGCCTTGATTAAAGTGAAGGAAAACAAACTACAGAATGTAAAGTGAATAACAAAATCGAGGAGCCATAAAGATGAGACCAAAGAGTTTCTAACAATGGTAAGAGGTGAGTGGATGCAGGTGAATGTTGAATATCGATTAACAGATGGGAGGCAGTGACAAAGTGCAGGTTCAACACAATCTGCTGGCTTCTTTCCTAAGATAAATAACTTTTACTAATTGACATTTKAAGATGTAAGAGAASAKTTTTGTACAGTGATCTGAGACGATGTTTGTTGTGAATTGGTGCTRTATAAAAGCTGAACTGAATTTAATTAACAGGCAACGGCATGATAATCTCAAAACGGCTAACCGAGGACACCTAGTGACAAAGTTAGGGGAAAAAATGAACACAAGAAATGAAGCAGAAGATCAGAACAGTTCCTGCCTAAGATGTTCAAATACTGAGCCAACAGCCTTTAACTGGTGGTAAAACCATCTGAGAGTGAAGGATCCATGCTACGATTAAATATAAAAGTGAATGGCTTCTCTAACTTGATAATTTAAATGTTGAATAACATTTTGTGTTGGTTTTATTTAWAAATCCTGCTTTTAATTCAAAACTAACGTTACACTAGTGGTGCTTTGATTATAACTGTATTCTACTAAATGTAAAGCATTTTATCACCAAATCAAGTGAGTCTAAGCCTTATCACCTGTATTTTCTGTTCTTACGTTTATCACTCAACACCAAAGGCAGAATTGTGAAATTTTTTTCACTAAGGATGCAACGGTACAGAAAATTCATGATTTAGTTCAGTTCGATAACTTAGTGTCACGGTTTSATATATTTTCGACACAAAAAGATAAATGCCCATGCCCTTCTTAACTTGTAATTTATTGAAATTAATTACAAACATTTGTTTAACCTGAAAAGTCCAGTTTTTAAATTAAATGTTGCTAAAACAGCAAGTTTCTCAATAGATCTGCGTTCGACAACACAGCCTAGGTAGAGTAGTCGAACACAGATCCACTGAGCCTTCAACACAGAGCATCTTCAGAAGACAAGTAGATAAAATAAACATCAACATATCAATTAATTTAATTTATTATTTATTAATCAATTAATGTCAATCAACATATTGACATTAATTGTTGGAGTCAACCCTCTTCATCTGTTAGCAAAATATTTTTTATGAACCATTAGAAACATTTTAATTAATATTTCAGAAAGTAATCATTGGATATTAATTTATAACTGGTTTGGTTTCGCAATCAACCCAATTCAAGATGGTTACCACAACAAATCGACTTTAGCAAACACAAAAATGGCTTGAATTCTTTTTATTTTATAAATAAAAGCCCCTGCTCTTCCCTCAATCTGATCTCCAGCACTGATATCAAGCTACAGTGGAACAAAAAAGATACGAGGTGACACGGAGGACAAAAAAAAAGAGGCAGAAAAAAGATTGGTGGGGCGGAGTGGTGTGGGGGGAGATCAAGAGGGGGTGCAGGGAGCTCACGAGCAGTGGGGAATGGGGGGTGGGACAACAACATGAAAGAGCTGAGCTGGAGATCACACACTGCACTGGCACATCTGAGGAGGCACCAAATATCCTGACCTCTCCACACTCACAGGCTGTGCAACAAAGAGAAGTGGGCTGTGAGCAGAACATCATCACAGCTCTGCCTACACACACTGACCTTTACTCTTTCTGAAGACGCTGAAACACAATGAAGCACAAACAGGAACTGGAATCTCACCAGCGTKTTACTTTCCTCTGATAGTTTAATGCACGCTGCTAGCACAGCACTACTAACAGCTGAAGTCACACACATTCACTGTTGTATGCACACTCTCTGCAATAGTTGTTTTTATAATCACATTTTTTTACAGAACTAGTTTTTGAATTAGCATGTTGAATKTTAGTGAATATACTGAGGATGGGTTGGCCAGCAGCATTGCAGTGTATTTAATATACATTAGATGCTATACATATTAGAATTGGCACAGTGGCTAAGTCCCAACTTCACTGTGGGAATATCAGGGGTTTGAATCCTGGAGCCGACCTCCGAGCAACCTAACCTACACTATGAGTGGGAGACTAAATAATGAGGCC